CTCACCATCATCACCATCATCACCATCATCATCCTCATCAGCATCATCATCAGCATCATCAGCATCCTCATCATCAGCATCACCATCAGCATCATCATCACCATCAGCATCGTCATCACCATCAGCAGCATGATCATCAACATCAGCAGCATCATCATCGTTCGCATCAGCATCATCAGCATCATCATCGTCGTCATCGTCATCGTCATCAGCATGATCATCAGCATCAGCAGCACCATCATGTGCATCATCATCATCATCATCATCATCATCATCAGCAGCAGCAGCCGCATCATCGTCATCGTCATCATCATCATCATCAGCATCATCAGCATCAGCGTCATGACTTTTACCATCATCAGCATCAGCAGCATCATCATCGGTATCAGCATCAGCATCATCATCGTCATCATCTGCACCATCATCGCCTTCATCATCATCACCATCATCACCATCATCACCATCATCATAATCATCGTCATCATCATCCTCATCATCATCACTATCGTCACCATCATCATCAGCATCAACATTATCCTCATCATCATCCTCACAGAGCTCTCCCCAACACGTGTATAAAATGATCATCACCATCATCATCATCAGCAGCAGCAGCATCACCATCATCACCATGCTTCTCCTGACCACTACTTGCGAATTTGCACAACAATGCTGCCAAGGCCCTTCCGTCGTTGATCATGTTTGAGCAGCAGCTGCTCAAGACGTCCGCAACATGTCTGAATGGCTTGCATGGGGTGCCTGGGGCTACCTAAAGTCAGTGCTCCCATAAATTGTGCCCGACTGGGTTTCCCATTCGTGATGAAAAATATGATGTGTACTCATGAGCCTCTGCAATGGAAAACCTCCCGTGCGGCAGATCTCTACAAGGGCCATGGAGCCCCCAACCAGGACCCCTCAAGCAGGCCCATGGCTATCGGACCCCAAATAGGCAAACGTGTTCATGCCCTGGTCTCCAACATACTCTAGAGCTTCCTGAACACCTTCTCCCCTAAAACACAGTGTGGCGAGTTGAGGGACGTTGGACCGACATTGTTGTGCACATGGTGCGGCTGATGCGTTCGATGTCCACTATGCTTGTTGGCCTGGAGGCGGCGTTCCACCATACTATTCGGGAAAGGTTGATGCAAATCAAGGGGGGGAAGGAATGTCTGACTTGCGGATTGTCAAACTTTCACAAACGTCTGCCGTGCCATGGCAGCTGAGGAGCTGGCGCAGCCTCCTCTTCTTCTTTGTAGCGCGTGCCTGCAGAGCCTGTGACGGGCTCATGGACTACTACTCAACGATCCGGGGATGTGACTATCATGACCACTGGTACCAGGCCAGGTAAGTGAGCGTTTCATTATTCGGCGTTTCGACATTGGGTGGAAGGGGGAGGGAGGGAGAGGGTCCAGCTCCAGACCTCTGCTTAGTGCGACTGTTTGCACTAGTGCGTCCTATGAGGGAACTTCCGCCCGCTTGAAACAGGCACCCAGGAGAGGGTGGAGGAGGGCGAGGATCAGAGGAGGCATTGCTTTGTATTACTCTGTTGAATTGCTGTGCATTGAATTGCATTGCTTTGCGCTGTGTCGAATCAATTTGTTCTGTATTGCTTTGCATTGCTCCGCATCGCATTACATTACTGAGTATTGTATAGCGTTGTTTTGCATTGTTTTATCCTGCTTTGCAATGCCTTGCATTGATTGCGATGCTTTGCATTGCGTTGAATGGTTGTGCGTTGCTTTGTATTGACTTGCACTGATTTGCATTGCTGTGCGTTGATACGCATCGCAGTGTGTTGCTTTGCCTTGCTCAGCATCGCATTAAGGTCGCCTCTATTCGAGAGCCAGTGGCGCCCAGCCCACAGCTGGCCCACAGAGCCGGAAGAGGCATCCAACTCACCAGGAGGGGCGCCATCCTCGTGAAGGTCGCAGCTTTGGAAGCCCAAGGTGCCCCGCCCACAACTGGCGCACAGGGCCAGCGGAGGCCTCCGGCCCACCAGGAGGGGCGCCATCCGCGTGACGGTCGCCACTTCTCGAGGGCCACGGCGACCAGCCCACAGCTGCCCCAAGGAGGGGCGCCATCCTCGTGAGGGTCGCCCCGTTTTGAAAACCAAAGCGTCTGGCCCACAGCTGGCCCAGAGCCGGCAGAGGTCAGGAGGAGCGCCATCCATGTGAGGGTCGCCACGTTTCGAGGGTCAAGGCGCCCTGCCCACAACTGGCCCACAGAGTAGGCACAGGCCTCCGGCCCACCACAACGACAGCAGCAAATACGACGACAATGACAATGATGACAACCAAACTAGTAACAAGGACAGAGCAACCAACGGTAATGGCAACATCCCCAAGAGCCACATGAACAACATAACGACACAAGTAAGAGCAACAGCGACAAGAACCCAAAACAAAATAGTCGCAGGAACAACAGCGACGACATGAGCAACAGTATGAGGAGCAGTAGCAACATACGTGAGAACCCAATCAACACCTTAATGCCAAGTATAATAACAACATAATAACAAAAAAAAACATACTTTTAACGGGCACAATAACAGAACACGTACATGAGCAGCAACGACGACATGAGTTGCAGCCGCACGATGACCACACCAATATAAAAGCCCCATGAACAGCAACGGCGGCATGAGCACCAGCCGCATCATGAGCAGCCATGGCGATCTCAGCGGCAGCCCCATCAGCGTCAACCTCACCAGCAAAACAGTAACGAGATGCAACCGCATCAGCAAACCCCGCAGAGGTCTCATACCACCTGTTCTGTTTACCAGGGAAGAACCTCTATATGCTAAATCATAAGTTGGGAAAACATTGCTGCATTTTCGATACTTGCGGGGTTCGTTGCTTGCTCTAATATACAGCGTTCGGTGCTTGCGGTATAATACGCCATCAGCGTCTTACACGGCCCCAAGAAGGACCCGACAGCCCCACGAGGGCCCTCAGATATCTCAGCGGATCCAAAATCGGCGGCGAGCGAAGGGGGAAGTGAGAAGCATAAGGCCTTCTCAGAAGGCTCGGAAGTCCTCCAGCCTTCTGAGAAGTTCTCTAAGCCTCCCCCGAAGACATCGAACACCTCTCAAAGGCCAGAGGGCTTCTGAGAAGCCCCGCCGCCTTCTAAGAAGGCATTCTGCTTCTCACTCCCCCCCACTCTCGCCGCCGACAGCAAAGGGCTCCCGAGGCCCCGTTCCAGTAGCACCTCCCCCTCCCCGAGCGTCCGTTCCAGAGAGGGCGGAGACCGCAGATTCCGACGATCAGCAGAAGGCCTGTGCCCACGGCGGCAGGAACGGGGGAGAGAGCGGGAGGCGGCCCTCGGAGAAGGCCGGCCCCGTGTCGCTCCGCGGGCCCCTGCCTGCTCCGGACTCTCGGAGAGGTGGAGCAGGCGGAAGATGTAGACCAGGGTCTCCTCGGGCCGGCCCGGGGGAGGGGCGTGGCGCGAGTGGCGAGAGGGCAGGGCACGAGACGGGGGCAGCGAGGAGACGAGCGGAGAGGCGCACCAGGGACGCAGGGCAGCGCGACGTGTGGACCGGTGATGGCGTGGGTGTGCACGGTGCGCCCACCTCCCCAGACGTCCAACGTCGTGACTTTTTGTCACAACGCGGCTCCCCAGAGGTCTGGAGCGCTTCCAGCGGACCGGTTTTGCATCCTGAGTCATCGTCTGACGGCCCCCAGAGCCGGTAAGGGCCCCCTAGGGCCGAGAACTGCAAAAATACGTCCGTCGTGATTCTGTCAATACGCGAGGATGTCAGGGAACTCTGCCAGATCCGCTGCTGTGTTCTGGCAAGTGTGTTCTGGCAGGGCCTCTGTGGTTCCCCGCCCACGTGGCACCTGGCACCGACCCCCCCGAGGCTTTTTGGACAGCCAAGACGCCTCCCTGGCGGTCACCAAAGCTTCCAAAATGACCAATGGCCTGGAGGACGGCCACGAAGGACTCCGAAACGTCCAACGTGTCTTGAAGACGATCTGGGAAGCCCCAAGAGGAGGCCCAAGAACTGCTCCAGAGGCCCACCTCCTCCTCCTCCTCCTCCTCCGCCTCCTCATTATCCGCATCCTCTTCTTCGTGTTATTGATAAGTATCTTGCTATTCGTATTCAAATTCGTAGCGTGGTTATCATTTTTAGTATGACGATTAGTAGTATGATCATACGCGTTGTTGTACTCATTATTATTAGCAATAGTTGTAATAGCAGCAGCAGTAGCAGTAAAATCAGCAGCAGTAGTAGTAACGTTAGTAATGGCTGTAGTAGAAGAAGAAGAAGAAGTAGTAGTAGTTGTTGTTGTTGCTGTAGTTGTAGTAGTCGTAGTGGTTGTAGTAGTAGTAGTAGTAGTAGTAGTAGTAGTAGTAGTAGTAGTAGTAGTAGTAGTAGTAGTAGCAGTAGTAGTAGTAGTAGCAGCAGCAGTAGCAGTAGTAGTAGTAGCAGTAGCAGTAGCAGTAGCAGAAGCAGTAGTAGTAGTCCCAGTAGTAGTAGTCAAAATAGTAGCAGTAGTAGTAGTAGTAGTAGTAGTAGTAGTCGTAGTCGTAGTCGTAGTCGTAGTAGTAGTAGTGGTCTATGAGTAGTAGTAGAAGTAGAAGTAGCAGTAGCAGTAGCAGTAGTAGTAGTAGTTGTTGTTGTTGTTGTAGTAGTACTCGAAGTAATAGTATTAGTCGTCGCCGCCGTCGTCGTAGTAGTAGTAGCAATAGAATGATTACCAGTATGATTTTAAATGGCAAGACTGAGAATTGCGCTAATATTATTTCATTGATCGAGCCACTCAGGTCACGGTAATGATAGGACCTGGAGTTTAGATAAACGGCCCCAGATATAGGAAATCCATGTTTGAATTGAGTTAACGGGTTTTCGAGCTTACTACATGATGTTTGTCTTCTTTTGAATAGGCGGCACCCGAGACATCCTCCAGAGCCGCATGTTCTCAGATATTCTAGATTTATCTTAGGCGGCGAGCCCAGAGGGGGAATGTGACGGTGCGGGCCTTCTCAGAAGGCTCGGAGGTCAACCGGCCTTCTGAGAAGCCTCCTGAGACTTCCACGGAGACACCGAAAACCTTTCCGAAGGCCCGTCAGGGCTTCTGAGAAGCCCCGCCGCCTTCTGCGAAGGCCCTCCCTCGCTCGCCGCCGAGTCTGGGCAGCTCCAAGGGCGCCTCACGCGCCTAACCTCGCGCTTCGCGCTGCGCGAAGCGCGAAACGCAAATAACTTCGCGCTCTCGCGCCGATCCCCCGGGGAGAAGAGAAGAAGGACGAAGAGGAGAAGGAGGAAGAGGAGAAGGAGGAGGAATCGGAGCCGAGCCGCGAAGCGCGAAGCGCGAATAGCTTCGCGCCCTCGGGGGCGCCCCTGCAGCTCCCCCCGTTCGGGGGGAACGAAAGGGGGGGATAGCCAAGGGTAGGGTAGAGAATCAGCTCACGTAGCTGATTTTCCCAGCGCCTCCCGGCGCCGGGAGGCGCCCATGTATCGAGGAATGGGCCCGGCGGCGGGGCCCAAACCAGCTGCATGCAGCAGATTTCGTCACGCCCCCCTTTCCCTATCCCCCCCCTTTCGTTCGGCCCGAGCCGTCGCCCGCGTGGCATCGTCCTGGTCAAGCCTCAGGCCATCATCCAGCATCTGGTAGGAGAGCTTCACGCCCTCCTGCGGACTGGCAGAGCGGCGGCCGCCGCGACGGGAGGAGGGGGAGGAGAAGGAGGAGGAGAAGGAGGAGGAGGAGGAGGAGAAGGAGGCGGAGGAGGGAGCAGGGAGGAGGGCTAGGGAGGGGGAAGGGGAAGAGGAGAGAGCACGGGAGGAGTGGAGGGGACAGGGGAGAGGAGAGGAGGAGGGAGGAGAGGAGGAGGAGGAGGAGGAGGAGGAGGGGGGGGAAAGGGAGGAGGGAGGAGGGACGAGGACGAGAAGGAGGAGGAGGAGGGAGAGGGGAGGAGGAGGAGAGAGGGGAGGCGGGGAGGAGACGGGAGAGGAGACCGGAGACAAGGGGGGAAAGAGAGAGAGAGAGAGCAAAAACAAAAAAAATGAGTGGAGGGCACGAGGGGAAGAGGAGAGCTCGAAGGCAAAGCGGGGCCCCACGACGCTGCAGACAGGCTGGGGCCCCAGCGCGGACGCGAGGGCACTCCTCCCTCCTCTCCTCCTCCTCCTCCTCCTCCTCCTCCTCCTCCTCCTCCTCCTCCTCCTCCTCCGCCGCCTCCGCCTCCGCTCCTCCTCCTCGTCCTCCTCCTCCTCCTCCTCCTCCCCCTCTTCCTCCCCCTCCGAGCCGACAAAAAAACGCGAGCGGGGGTGCGCCGCTCTGCGCGCCCCTAGGGCCTCGCCTTGTCGCTGCCTGGCGCCTGCTCCGGCCTGGGCGCGCGGCCTCTCGGCCGCGCCAGCACCCAGCCGACTTCTCGGCCCCTTCGGTGGCGTGCCCGCGGCCCCTTCGGCGGCGAGAAGCCCTCAGAGATTGGCGTTAGGTCGGGCATGTCCCCCTACAGGCGGATTGTGGGCGAAAAATGTAACATCTATTTCAAAAAATACTCCAAGAAATTATCGACACGAATATTCGAAAAGTCATCCCCATACCATGTGTTTACTACTTGGGAATATTCCTTCTGTGGAGGGACGTGTCTGACTTAACCTCAGAGATTGGCGCTGCAATTCTTTCACCACGGGCCCTCGGAGATTGACGCTGCAATTTTTCACCACGCGCGTTTTCGCCTGGTGCCGGGCCCCGGGGCCCTCGCAGATCGGCCTGGCTCGAAGAACGGCGCGGGAAGATGGGGTCTGGGGCTCCAGTCGCGATCTTTTGCAAGGTTGCACTTGTTTCGCAACGTCGGATGTGAGGGGGGGGGCAAGCCCTCGCTGTCAGGGACCTACTGACCCGGGTCAATGCAGACCCGGGTCAGTCGGGCGTTGCAGGACCATGCAAGATCCTGCAAGCTCCTGCAGGATCCTGCAGGATCCTGCACCCAAGCCCGGGTCAATGCGACCCTGGCCCTGCAGGATCCTGCAAGATCCGGCGCTCTGACTGACCCCAATTTGCATACAGCCCCGTCTCTTGATCCCCGACTCAGAAGGCTCGGAAGACCTCCGGCCTTCAGTAGAGGCCTCATAGATGGGGTCGGACCAGATGGGGTCGGGGGATCGCGCCGCATCGCTGATACATCGGCGATGCATCGGCGATGCACTAGGGATGCATCGTCGACGTGGGCGATGCATCGGCGACACCAACGTGAAAAAAAAAAAACGGGCTCCGCATCGAGCCGCATCGGCGATGCATCGGCGATGCGGCGCGATCCTCCGACCCAATCTACTCCGACCCCCCATCTAGGAGGCCTAGAGTCTGAGAAGCTCTCTGAGCCTTCCCCGAAGACACAGAAAACTGCTCAGAAGGCACGAGGGCAACTCAGAACCCCGTCGCCTTCTGCGAAGGCCTGCTCCTTCCCACTCCCCCCCCTCGCTCGCCGCCGAAAGCATAGAGCTTGCGCACCATAGAAGCTCAAGCTGCGGTGGGCTTCGCGTCTCTTCGCTCGCCCTCTGACCTTGCGCCGATGATGTCCGCGGGAACGCGCCCTTCAGCTACACGCAAGAGCGACCGTTGGCAAGAGTGAACTTTGTCGGCGGCCAGCGAGGGGGGGGAAATGAGAAGGAGAAGGCCCTCTCAGAAGGCGGCGGGGCTTCTCAGAAGCCCCCGCGCCTTCTGAGAAGTTTGTTGTGTCTTCGGGGAACGCTTAGACAACTTCTCAGAAGGCCGGGGGACCTCCGAGCCTTCTGAGAAGGCCCGCCCCTTCTCACTTCCCCCCCCCGCTCGCCGCCGACTTCGGGGCGCGGACTAAAAGGAGGCGCAGTGTGGCCAATACAAGCGCACAAGCAGCCGCTATCGCATCGCGCTCAGCGATCGCGGGGGGGGGACCCGATGAGCCCGCACCCAAGGTCACTCCAGCGAAGGGCCACACGTGTAGTCGAACCCTGCCGTAGACGCGGCTGCCGGGCTGCTCGAGAACGACCACGAGGAGCCTGACGACCGGATCGAGCCTCTCGGTGGGAGAGGAGGGGGCGCCGGATGCTCCAGGGAGCAAGGTCCGTGCTCCGATTTGAGCGACGATCAAAAAGCAAGTCTTACACGAATTGGCACAGCGACCTTACGCGGTGGCTTACGCGGGCCGCCAGCGCGGCACGCCACGCTGGAGACGAGGGCGCTCACGCGGGGAGCTTACGCGCCAATGTCGGCCCACTTGAACCCCTTTTTTGTTCGTCATCCGTTTGGGCGGGGAATTGTCTGAGTAGGGGACCGCGGGGCCCGTGCCGGCCCGTGACGGAATGCTATGGGTAGCCGATCCGTGCAGTTGGGACCTGCTCCACCGCCTGGGTCATGTGATGACTGAGATGGAGGGTGGTGCACACGCCTTCTGCATGCGCTCCGCGCGTCGGGAGGGAGTCTGGATGGGTGTTGGCCCTCAGGCGGTCTTATAAAAGTACCTCCTACGTCACCAAGACCATCACCGCTCAGACGACTCGCCTCAAGCGGCTGAGGCGCGGGAGCTACCTCGGTTGCAGCTGCTAGAGTACAGGCTGTGGCAAGCTTGGGCCTCGGCTGTGGCAAGTTTGATCAACTTCTGACCATCTGAAAAAATCGTGCGATGCCAAATATCGTCGCTGGACCTGTCCGAGGCGAGACTTTCGTAACCTCTGTCTGGGATAAAGATGAAGGGCGAACACACATCTTCACTTCTCGGCATCAACGGCTGCGCCAATCCAAATGTCGCCAGGCAGACCGGGATCCCGACAGGAACCCACCTGCGACAGGTAAGATCATGCAGTGAAGCGTGGCCTGAAGAAGGGATATGAGCGTGCTGGCGTGCCGCATCCGAATATCGCACGAAGCCCAAATGGCCAACGATAGTACCTACGCAAAAACACGAAGCGGGGAGGCGAGCGGAGGAGGGAAGAGGGGAAGGCCGAGAAGAAAAGGCCCCGAATCGTATCATCTAACATCACACTACGGGACGGATAAAAACCGCAAACCCCGTCGACGTGTGTGAGAGGCTCTTCCGTCATCGGTCCTCTCGCGTCGCCGTCCTCATCGTCGTCGTCGTCATCGTCGTCGCCGTCGTCGTCGTCGTCGCCGTTGTCGTCGTTGTCGTACTTATCGCCATCACCGCCCCCCCTGTCCCTGTCCATGGGACCTCCTCGTCAAATGCCCCAGCCAAAGAGAAACCGAACAACGTCGCGATCGACACGAACGGAAGCCCATTGCATGTGATCCCTTCCCTGCCAAGGGGGGAAGTCCCGCGGGGGGGTACTGGGGGCGCCCGGGGGGGGAGTCCAAAGAGGGTCTCGGGGGTGTCCCGGGGGTTGCGACCCCCCCCCGACGGGAACACCCCTCCTCCTTCGGAGAAGTTTGTCCCTTCGATGCCTGGCCTCCCACACGCCTCGGGTTCCCCGTCAGTTTTGGCGGCCCCGGCAGCGACTCTCCCAAAATAAATCGCACGAGAACTGGGCGAGCACAGTGGCAATCAAAGCGGGCACAGCCCATAGCTCATATTGTCCCGGCCGCGTAGCCGATAGCAGTACACTAAGACTTCGACCTCGTTGAGAAAGAAGCGCTTGTCGGCGAGGGGGACGGGAGGGAGGAGAAGGAAAAAGAAACAAAAAACACTGTTCAAGTAAAATGGACATGGACGCGTCAATCTGCTGGTGTCCTCCTCATATAAGTTCCCCCCCTTCCTCCGCCTCTTCCTTCTCCTGCTCCAAATCTTACGCAAGATCGTCATCACATTCCCATTCAAGGACGGGAATACGCAAAGGCATCTATACTCCACCACCGTGCCAGGCCAGGGCCATCCTGGCGCTGGCAAGGTGAAAAAACCCTCCTAGCCGAAGCCGAAACGGTCTATACACCATCCTGGGGCCCAGGATGGCCCTGACCTGGCACGGTGGTGGTGTATAGACGCTTTCGCTGGATGGAACGAGCTGGACACGCAGGCCGTCCTCATAAAGGTTGGATCCACCGCACGCTTTGATCGCGGCCAGGTAGCACTCCTGTGCGGCCGGACGCAGCAAGAGGACGATGTGGGAGCTGAGGAAATGGAGGGAGAGTGAAGAAGGATATCACGAGAGGGGACTAGGAGAAGGGTGGGGAAGCAGGAACGACGAAGGTGGAAGGAAGCAGAGGAGGACTAGAATTGCGAACTGCGGGATCTGGTGGATCATAAGACAGAATTGACGGCGGTATAAAGTGTAACGGACCTTGTCATACTATATCAAATGCAAGCGTTCTGGAGGTACGGGCCCACATCGCAGTGAGGCATTCGACTCAAGTCGGGACCGCGCAGGCGATCGAACAGGCCTGGCGGCCCAAAAGAAACAAGAAAGAAGGAACGCAAAAACTGCCCAACACCCGCGCACCTCCCCAATCCGTATAGGGCACCGGCCGACACCTGGGGGGGGCGCGCGCTGGGCTGGCGGAGCGCGTGCTCACTGACTGCATTCAAAAGGGCACGCTCGTGCTCATAAGAATGGCACCGACCATCTCCCCCGAGTGACGCGAGGCGGCTGGCCAGGCGCCGCGACTGCGCACGCGCGAGGGCCGCGCGCCGCCGCCGGAGCGACCGACAGACAGACAGAGCGAAGCTCGACACACGACCCGCGAGGATAGAGGGCCGAGGTTGCGACAAGACTGAGAAGGGACCAGTAAAATGGAGCGGGGAGAAAGCTGGGAATTGTCCCTGGGGGGCGCGGAAGATGACATCCTGCGCTTCGCCTCGCCGCTCAATTCTGGGCCCCCCTCGCCGGTGCGAGGCTCGTCCGCGCGAACGGGCTCGACCACGGCCGCTGCGGCGTCGGAAGTGGACCCCTCGGCGACCTCGGCGGTCGGGACCTCCTCCTCGTCGTCGGCGGCCGCGACCTTCTCCAGGCGCCCTGCCGCTCGCTCCTGGTCGCGCGTCTTCTTGCTCTCGACGGCCACCGCGACGCGCCATCTTGCAGGCCGTCGCGGGCTCGGCCGCGGGGGCCTCAGTCAGCTCACCCTCGTTCCCGTCCTTGCCCCGCTGTCCTTGTTGCCCCTGCTGTTGCCGCGCCTGGCCAAGGCTGCCGATGGGCGCCCGGGGCCACGAGGCGCGCCCGAAGCTTGGCGGCGGCTCCAGCTCGCCGGCGCCCTTGCCGCAGTCACCGGGGCGACGGCGCGCGCGCGCGCCAACGCCCCGGCGCGCAGGCGACGGCGCTGCAGACCCTGGCGGTGGACCATGGAGGCCGCGGAGGCGCGGACCCTGGCCGCTGGCCGGGGCCCGCCGGCCTGCCCCTCGGCCCGGACGACCGAGAGCGAGGCGGGCGCTCCTGAGCCTGCCCGGGCGCCCGAGGCCAGCGAGGGTGCGAGGTCAATTTCTATACACCACCACCGCGCGCAACAGAAATTTACCGCAAAAAGGGTTAGGGGCAGAGTCATGCCAGACGACGCTGCGACGCCACGGCGAAAAGGAGCGCGGCGCAGCTCGCAGGCGCCTGGCATGGGGAGTTCCTGGAGCAGGTGGCCTCGCCGGCGCCGGGCAGGGAAGACCCGACCACGAGCCGCCAGCGCCAGCGGCGCGCAGGGCGGCGCTCACGGGCCAGTGAACGGACCCACTGCGCCGCCAGGCGACGGGCGGCGACGCGGCCCACCCCCTCGATCACGGGGCGCGCGTCGGGGTCGACGTTGCACTGCCCGCTCGCGACGCGCGCCCCACGGCCGAGAGCCGCGCGCAGCTGCAGGTCACCGCAGCCGTCGGCGAAGTGCACGAGCCTCGAGATGTGTCCTTGGATTTGCCTGCTCTCCTGCTCACGCGCCACTCGCAGCGTCGAACAGCTCGCCGGGGGAGAGATGTCACGGCGCAACTTCCTCGGCACGATCTCCCGCGGACTTCCTGTCCATCGCCGCGCGCGCGGGCCTCCTCGAACGCCTCCAGCGGAAGCACAGGCGCCCACGACTTGCTCGTTGCGGCCATCCGCGGGGGAACAGGGCGCGGCGATGGCGACGGCTGAGGCGACGCCGAAAGCCGACGGGGCAGCGCCGCCACCGCCGCGCACGGCTGGGGGGCTGCGCCGGCGGCAGCACGCGCCGGGAGACAAAGGGGCACAGTCGTCTTCGCGGCCGCGGCGGCGAGGCACCTCGTCGCGCCGCGGGCCCCGCTGCGGCGGGTGCCCCCATCGCGGCGGCGGTGGAGGCGAACGCGGCGAGGTGGCGCACGACGGGCACGCCGCCTCGACTCTGCCGCAGGTGGCGGCGGCACCATGGGTGGCAGCCCTGGCGGGCGAACCGTCGTGCCCGGCTTGAAAGGAGCGACCTCGGCCGGCACTCTACTCTGGTGCCGCGGAGGCGGGCTGGCGCCCACCTCGGAAGACGATGGCGTGGCCGGCCGCTCGGTCGCAGCGGCCCCCTCCTTCGACATGGCCGCGCGCGTCGCCCTCTAGGGCGCGAGCGCGGGCCGCGTAGAAGGGCCGACCGACGCAAGCGCGCGCGCGCGCCGAGCGCCGCGCGCGGGGCCGCCATCGCAGGCACGCGCGCAGGCGACCGATGCCGCGCGCGACCCACGCACTGAACATGCAAATGGCCGAGCACGTTGCACGCACATGCGCGCACACGCACGCGCATCACACCGCGCACTGCTCCACGCCCTCTCTTTTTGACACATGAAACAGCGCCACTGCCAATAGCGCGCAGCGCACGCCGCGCCACTCATCCCAGTCAAGACATAGCAAACGCACACAATGGGCCAGTGGACCCTTACAAACACGAACTAAGACATGAGACCTCCGAACGACGGGCAAGAGAGGGAAGTGGCCTTCGGCCGGGCTGGACTGGAGCACGGCGGTCAAACTGGCGGCCACGACTGGCAGCCCCCCCCGGCGGGCATGCGCCAATAACCAGATGGCACGGCGATTGGCCGCGGCGCCGAGGGTGACGACATATGGAGCGCAATCTCTCCAGCGGCACCCGCTGGAGACGGAGCGGAGTTCCGCGCGGTCGACGCCGCTCTGCGCGAGTCAACCCGCAACCGCGTCGCGAGTACCATCCCTGCTCAAAGCCGATAGCTAACTAAAGCACAAGAGACTTCGAAGCCACGAGACACGCGGCAGCACTGGGCGCCCCGCCAAAGGCTCGGGCTCAGCGGCCGCCACGGCGGCGACGACCTCCATAGAATCCAGGCAAAACTCGAACTGCACAGCCGAAGCCTGCTGCCCGGGCGCATGGACCGCGCGGCCCTTCGGCCACCTCGCGGAGCGTGGCGGCGATCGCCAGGCCATGGCCCGTAGAAGAGATCGCGGCCATCAGCTCACTCGCGAAGTTGCTTCCTGTCACCGTCTTGAGAGCTCCACACTGCCAACCCAGGAGATGGCAGGGGATGGTGCCAGCGTAGGACGACGGCGCTGGCGTCGAAGATTTGGTACCCATGCGCAGGAACGCCGCACCGCGCAGGGCGCGGCCCGCACGTGCACCATCCTTTTGTTCCCCGTATCCTAAAATGGGATTATTGTTATTACTTGGGCGCCTCCTACTCCTCCTTCCTCTTCTTCTTCTCCTCTTCCTCCTCCTCCTCTTCCTCCTCCTCCTCCTCCTCCTCCTCATACCTAAATTTACTCACACACACAGATTTACTCATACACAGACTTACTCATACTCAGACCTGATTATATAAACTTACTCATACACAGACTTACTCATACTCAGACCTACTCATACTCAGACTTACTCATACTGAGACTCACTCATACCCAGACTTACTCCCACTCAGACCTTCTCATTGTCTGACTTACGCAACACACAACATATTGCGAGGATGTCTCAGGCGGGGCGCTGGTTTCAGCACCCCTAAGGGGAGCCGCCAAGGGGTTTGGCACGGTCCCGTTCGCGGCCGTTTTGTGGGGATGTCTCAAGCGGCGTGCCTGTTCTCTGTCCCAACATCCTTCGCTTGGGGAGCAGATTGAGAGGATGTCTCAGGTGGGGCGCTGGTTTCAGCACTCCTAAGGGGAGCCGCCGAGGGGTATTGCACGGTCCCGTTCGCGGCCGTTTTGCGGGGATGTCTGAAGCGGTTAGCCTGTCTTCTGTCTCAACACCTTTCGCTTGGAGAGTAGATTGCGAGGATGTCTCAGGCGGGGCGCTGGTTTCAGCTACCTAAAGGGGGCCGCCGATGGGCATTACGCGGTCCCGTTCGCAACCGTTTTGCGGGGATGTCTCAACCGGTTTGCCTGTCATCTGTCTCAACATCCTCCGCTTTCGGAGCAGATTTGGAGGATGTCTCGAGCGAGGCGCTCAATTTCCCCCCCAGGTGGGCCAGATTTCGACGATGCCTCGCTCGGTTTGCCTGTTTTGGTGGCCAGACTCGCGGACGCAGATTCTACTCGGGATGCCGCAGGAAGCTCCAACAGGCTCCAGGAGGCCCCAGGAGGCCACATGAAGTCCCAGGAGGCATCAGGAGGCCACAGAAAGACTCAAGGGGCCACAGGATGTCCCGGGAGGATCCAGGAGGCCCAAGGAAGCTCCGGGAGGTCTCAGGAAGCCACAGGAGGCCCCAGGAGGCCACAGGAAGCGCCAGGAGGCCTCGGAAGGCAACAGGAGGCCCCGAGAGGCCCCAGGAGCAGGAGGCCGCCGAAGGCAACAGGAGTGGCTCCAATCCCATGTGTTTTACGTATGATCCTATAGATTGGGCCCCACCTGGATAGCGAATTTATGTTATACGTATGTTTCTATATATTGTCCTTCTCCTGTGTACACAATCCTAAATGTTCTACTTACGTTCCTATATGTTGGGACTCGCCTGGGGCACGAGTCCTTGGTGTTTTCCGCGTGTTCCTATAGATTGCCCTTCTCCTGCGGCTCCAATCCGCAATGCTTTCTGCGCGTCTGTTGCTATAGATTGGACCACTCCTGGGGCGCGAATCCTCCCTGAGATGTCCCAGGAGGCCCCGGGAAGCCCCAAGAGGCTCAAGGGGGGCCCGGGAAGCCCCAGTAGGTTTCAGGAGGCCCCAGGAGGCCCCAGGCCCATGCGCAGAGACGCGCTCGTACTACT